TTCTTCATCGTACTGCTGCCACCCAAACAGCAGACGGGAAACTAGACTAGAGGGCCATCTGTCATCTTATTCTGGTCTATGCTCTGTGGGTTAGTCACTCTCTCCAGGAAGTACCTCCTTACTTTCAATCAAAACCAGGGAGAAGTTACTCCATGCAATCAACTTCCCTGGAAACCGGGTTCATTTCCAACAGGCACACACTGACCCACGTCTCTTCAGGACCGCCCCCGGAGAGCACTGCTCTGAGCAGATAGAAATCTACTGGTGGCCCCTGGCCCGAAGGAGATCCAGCTGCCCTTGATCAGAGCCAGGGCGTTTTCTGCCCTGGCCCCAACCTGGTGGAACTCTTTACCCTGTGGGACTTAATGCAGTATCACAGGGTATGTAAGGCAGAGATGTTCTGCCAGGCATTTGGCTGAGGACAGTGACTGTTTCCATCTGTTTGACACTCTGTTTTCCTGCCTCCCCTCCTCCCCAAGAGGCAGTGGTACATTTGGTAGTCTCACCGCCATCTTGTGAGGTTAGGCTAATCGTTTTAATGTATTGTTTTTAACTGTGATTTGTTATATGAATGTCTTTTTTATGTTGATGTACACTGCCCAGGGCCCAGTTCCACAAGGGAAGGGCAGTTTAGAAATCCAATTTGATAAATAAATAAATTTACAAGCAACACTTAATTAAAATACTCCTGAGGAAGATTTTGACGAAACGAGCTTACATCCGGGAGCTTGTAGTAACATCACGCGGATGGACTTCTCTTTGTCATATCAGAAGGATGTATTTCTCTATAATGTGACATAACATTTATATATCGATTGTAAAATGTTTTACGAAATGTGTTAAGTCAGCATATCACAGTGCGTGTTTGTATTTTCCGAATTTTAGTTCTGGCAGGGCCCCGACAGTACTCCTGCCAAGATTCTATGCCTTCAATCGCCCACAGACCATCTGACTGAACATATCCCCTACGGGGAGTGAGGAACCCTGGCAACAGACCTGTAGCCACACTGATCCAGAAAGACAGAATCTGCTGTACGAAGTCTTTCCCTGGACTATCTCTTTAATGATTTCCCCTTACGACCAAGGAGGCCAGGCCAGGCATTTGGATATTGTCTTGGAACTTCACGGAGTACATTGTTAAATTCTGGAAACTGAGAAACTGGCCTCCAGTGACCCTATCAAATTTTAATCCGTGCAAGAACAAAGCAAAAATAACTAGAACCAAAGCTTGATTTGTTAAGAAAAAACAACAACAACTTCATGTTACAAGATAAGGGTACCTTCAACATCCAGAGGCAGTCAGCCTCGGAATACCTGTGTCACGTGGCAACATCAGGGTAGAGCTTCTATGCCCTGTTGTTGGACCTCCAGAGGAACTGTTTGGCCACTGTGTGAGACAGAATGCTGGACCAGATGGGGCACTGGTTTGATCCAGCAGGGCTCTTCTTATGTTCTCACGAAGAGAGCCCACGACTGAGAGTTTCGTCTCTCTTTGAATTCATGTCCTGGTTATGTCTAACCACATGTGCTTCATAACTGAAACTCTTTAGTGATAGAGGATGGCAATTCTATTGCACAAACCTTTACCAGAAGAAAACCACTTTGTGGAAACAAAAACTTCTCGTTCCTAAAATGAAAGCTGCTGTCCAAGCCTGGCCTAAAGAACCAGCACCCAGGATCAAAAGTCACACTCCGTGAAGGCAGTACCAATCCCACAGTCAACGGGGACTTTCTAGGGCATCTTCCGCACAGCGACAATTCCCCATTGTGGACTCATTGCAGCAGAAAATGCACAGGCATTTGCTACCGCCATGGAGCATCCACACCAGGGAATTCTCCCTTCTTCCCTTATCTCCTTGCACCTGCTGTTTCCCTCCTCCCCCTAGTGCCACCAAAAGGCTTTTTGCCTTTCAAAAAAAAAGAGCTTGAAAGCTAAGTAGGCTGGCCACAGGCCCACAGCCAGGATTTTGTGGCTTGTGGGGCAAAAAATTTTCTGGTGGGGCTGGTGGGCTGCCATTATTTTTCTGTCTGTGTCTAAACAACTGGTTGTCATTATTACAGCACTTTAAAGATCTTTGCAACAGCCCTGTAAGGTAGACCAGTGGGATTAACCTGAAAATTTCAGATGTTAAATGTAAAAAAAAAAAAATTAAAAAAACCTTTTCAGGAGGAAATGTTATGAGGCTGGCCCTTTAAGGAAGAGGGCGGAGCCCCAAATAGTCCTGGCTGGCCATGGTTAGCACTTGGATGGGAGACCACCAAGGAAGTCCAGGGTTGCTATGCAGGAGAAGGCAATGGCAAACTGCCTCTGATTGTCTCTTGCCTTGCAAACCCTCCATGATCCTGGGGGTCACCGTGAATCAGCTGCAACCCAGTGGTGGGTCTATTGCAACGGTGCTATAGTGCTATATCAATATACCTACTATGGATTTCTTAGAAAGCCAGTTAAAACCCCACAAGTAGCTGGGGAGTGGGGAATGGAAGGCACAAGGCAACAGGGAGGGGAAATGGAGCCAGAGATGGGCGAGAAGGTTTGGAAATCTGCACATTCCCGTCCACACTGGAGGGAAACCCACACAGACGCAAACCCCACTGCAGTTTGAAAGCCAGGACGGAGCAAATCCTCTGCATGGGAAGCAGCCTTGGAGCCCTTCTATAACTCATCCACTAACATTTCTATCCCCCCCCCTCCTCCACCCCCCCCAAATAGCACCCACCTCTTGGCCGCCCATGTCGGTCTTCACCCATCCTGGATGAACCGTCGTGCACAGAATCCCGTCCTCCTTGTAACCCACAGACTGGCACTGGGTCAGCATGTTAAGAGCGACCTGCGAGAAGGGAAAGGAGACGCCAAGGAGCAAGCGGGGGACACAAAGCGAGCAAAGCGCAGGACTGCGCACGCCTGGCAGACCAAGTCCAAACACAACGCGGGGGAGAACCTCGGTTTGCTACCCAGTGCGAGCTTGCTGGGGGAGAAGCAGCGAATCCAAGGCCCCCCTCCCCGAGGGTTATGCCTAGATGGGACACACATTTGCACACATGAGCTTTTTTAAAAACTCACCTAAAATGCAATATGTCATGCAAGCCAAGAGTATTTCCCAGTTTTCCAAAGTTTCCATCACGGTCAGTACTCAGAATCTCCAGGGTCCCAGCTTGCAGTGTTCCCTCTAAGCTGAGTTAGTGTGAGCTAGCTCAGCAGTTTCTTAGCCTCCAGCTCACACATTTTTGTCTTAGCTCAGGAAGGATGGCTCCGGAGCAAACTAACTTATGCAGTAGCCAAATTGCTCGCTCACAGCTTTAATGCCCGTAGCTCACAAAGTAGAATTTCTGCTCACAAGACTCCACAGCTTAGAGAGAGCACGAGGTCTTTCACATCACCTACCGCCTGACCCTTTTTGCTGGGCATTGGACCTGGGACTTTCTGCCTGCCAAGCAGATCCTCAACCACTGAGCCACAGGACCTCTCCCTGACATGGGCCATCCGCTCCACCAGACGTGGGGAACAGCCAGGAAGGCCCGTTCAGTAACAGCAGGGAAGTCAGCATACTTCGGGTGGGGGATGGGGAAATGCAGAGGTCATTTCGGGGGGGATTGTGGGGGATCGCAGTTCCCCCGGGTGAGG